CCATCGGGGTTGGGTTTTCGTCGCTTGGCAACGACGTTGTTAAACAAGCCCCCGCCTCGGTGTTTTCCATCGGGATTAGGTTCTCGTCCCTTGGCAACGACATTGTAAAACAAGCCAATTCACTTCGTGAACTCGGCAACCAGGTTACCGTTTGTGTTTTTACCTCTGTTTTTTATTGGCGGTAACCATTATGGTGGTCGAGTAGATCATGTTGTGCGGGGTGGAAAACCCTCACTCCGCGCAAGGGGGATGATCGCACCACGTTGTGTTAAAATGGTCAAGCACCCTCGAGGCAGTTACGCAGTGCTTACAACTGTCTCAGGAAGTGAAAGCACCAGAACATAAATTTAGTCATGCGCAGCTGTCATCCGTACGCAAGGAAGTAAGCACAGTATGCCGAACACCTCCCCCCCCCGGTGTTTTGCCATCGGGGTTGGGTTTTCGTCGCTTGGCAACGACGTTGTAAAACAAGCCGCCCCCCCCGGTGTTTGCCATCGGGGTTGGGTTTTCGTCGCTTGGCAACGACGTTGTAAAACAAGCCAATTCACTTCGTGAACTCGGCAACCAGGTTCCCGTTTTTTTTTTTACCTCCGTTTTTTTTTTTGGCGGTAACCATAATGGTGGTCGAGTAGATCATGTTGTGCGGGGTGGAGAACCCTCACTCCGCGCAAGGGGGATGATCGCACCACGTTGTGTTAAAATGGTCAAGCACCCTCGAGGCAGTTACACAGTGCTTACAACTGTCTCTGGAAGTGAAAGCACCAGAAAATAAATTAAGTCATACGCAGCTGTCATCCGTACGCAAGGAAGTAAGCACAAGATGCCGAACACCCTTAGCAGGATGCAGCGCACCCTTCATGCGACTCGCCGAATATCTCACGGCGCTTCGCGCTTGGTGATGTGAGAGCCTGGTCCGGTGAGAACCCGGCGTGCTCCGTCCCGGCTTTGTAGGGATGCGAGGTCAATGGTCTAGCGACTACGGCATGCACGGCCATGAATACACCCCCCCATCGGTATTTGCCATCGGGATTGGGTTTTCGTCGCTTGGCAACGACGTTGTAAAACA